TGAGACAAGAAGAGCTACAAGAGAAATGATAACATAAGTCTACTATACCACACATAATATAATCCATAGAAGTAATGAAATTTTGAACAAACCTCATCATGATAGACAATAAAAATTAAGTACAAAATTGAATGTCTTTACATTATTGCTGTTACTAATTAGAACATGTTTCTCCTCTGGATTTCAAATACGGATCTCCTCAGTGCAATTTTGACATCCTTGTTCCTCAAGCTGTAAATCAAAGGATTAAGCATGGGCACCACATTAGTATAAAAAACAGAAGAAATTTTTCCCAGGTCCATAGATCCAGGAGAAGAATATTTAAGGTACATGAATGCCGCTGAACCAAAAAAAAGAGAAAGAGCAATCATGTGGGAACTACAGGTACTGAAGGCTTTTGACCTTCCTTGAGAAGATTTGATATGAAGAATGCTAGTGAGGATGAAGATGTAAGAAATTAGGATGGTGAAACTGGGTACTGTGATGTTAATACCCACAACAATGAGAACTACCACCTCATTGACATAGGTGCTGGTACAAGAGAGTTGGAGGAGTGGGAGGATGTCACACAAGTAATGGTTGATGACATTAACACTGCAGAAGGTTAGTCTAAGCATGCATCCTGTGTGGGCAGAAGCTCCAGCAAATCCCATCACATATGCAGCCAAAGAGAGCACCAAACAGACCTGATGGGACATGGAGACCTTATACAGCAAGGGATTACAGATGGCCACATAGCGATCATAGGCCATTGAGGTCAACATATAGCACTCAGAGATGACAAAAAAGAGAAAGAAAAACAGCTGAGTCATGCACCCCACATAAGAGATGGTATTCTCCCTGAAGACAAAGTTCATCAGCATCTTGGGGGTGAAAACAGAAGAGTAACAGAGATCAATGAAGGACAGGTTGAAGAGGAAATAGTACATGGGGGTGTGGAGGTGAGAATTTAGACCAATAAGAATGATCAAGCCCAGGTTGCCCACCACGGTGACAACATAGATCATTAGAAACAGGTAAAAGAGGGGTTGCTGGAGCTCTGGACGGTCTGTGAATCCAGCGAGAATAAATTCAGTCACTAAGGAGTCATTTCCAGCCAGCATTCTATTCTCGACTTCAGAAATCTGTGAGAACAGAAGAAAAGTTCATTAGTAGGGAACACAGCTCTGTCCTTACAAAATCACTTTTATATGAATTTTATTTATGAGACAGAGTCTCAGACTGGCAGAAATCATGTACGCCCTCCCCTGCTTCATAGTGTTTGGAGGCATGCACATCTCAACATTTAAATCACTCTTTTTTATTAAATTTATTTATTTTTAATTGAAGGATAATTGCTTTACCATATTGCATTGTTATCTCCCAAGCATCAATATGAATCAGCCATAGGTTTACCTATGTCCCCTCCCATGTCTTATGCTTTCATGAGTTGTATGGGACAAATCATGGCTCTAACTTTATTTTTACTAAAAGATAAAGGGATGGGGCAGCTGAGAAACAAATCTACCTGTTGACAAGTTTCAGTGGTGGGAATGAATACCCATCTCTCTAACCTACTCATCTGACTGGTCACTTTTTCATTCCTACTCAAGTTTCCATCACTCTACTAGATATCTCAGTTTCCCTATGATGACCTTCAAAAAAGAGGGAATTCCTATAGGGCAGAGGCCACACCAATATTCTGCTTCCTGGAAGGAAGTTGTTAAGAGTCTATAGGAGTTACAGACACTTTACCACAAGATATCATGAACAACAATTGGTAACAGGTATGGAGGAGAACCTTGGTGGCCTAAACATATACTCCATTGTTTCTACACATCCTCCTGCTCTATTCCATCCTAGAAGAACAGAGAATGAATAAAACGAGGTGGATGTGCTTTACCATGTTTTGTAGGATGGCATGAAAGAGAAATAAATTAATTTGGGTGCTGATTAAATTAGGTGTTAAGTTAGTGAAAACAAACCAAGCTGTATTATTATAATGACATGTAAAGTTGTATAATACATATATTTCAACAAAAAAAGTTTTAGGAGAAAAATATTTTCTTCTTCTGATATTGCTATGTTCTGGATTTGTCACTTGGAATTGCTATAGTTCCCCTGCTACCAGAATGAGGACAAAGCCAACACAGAGGATATGCTCAGAACAATACAAGCAGTTGAGTCAGAGATCCAGACCTTGGAGTTTCTTGTTATTCAATATAAATACTTTTCCTCATTTTTTAGCAACAGAGAAAAAAAGAAACTTGGTTAGCTCACATTCCTTTCATTGAGGAAACTCAGTGCCAAGTAACTTCATATGTATTTCACCTCCACTGTTCTAGAAGAACTGGCTTTGGAGATATCGACACTGAGCAGATGCAGTCACAGAATCTTCTCCCTGTGTTGGCAAGAGTCAGAGCATTGATACAGCAGTCGGAATGTTACAGAAGTTAATCTAAGGTTCAGACTAAAGTTGTAGCTATAAATCTATTAGGAGTCTGTAAAGGGAAACCACAGACTAGGCAGCTACAGCTATGTTGTAGATTTCATGGCATTTGCTTAAGGCTTGTAATTTTTTTATACCGGATTAGCAATCCAGGAATAAGTCTCCCCTAAGACCTTCCCATTGTGACAAGCTCTGCAAGCAAAAAATTGGTGTCTATTTTTGCACCCTAATCATGACAATAAATGTTAGTTTTCCTTCAGGGAACGTACATCTCCTGGGACACAGAAAAAGATCCTCTCTGTTCTTCATTAAAAATGAAAATAACTAAGGTCACTGAAAATTTCATTAACTGTCATTCCAGGTAACATATTAATTTTTTTAGAAATTTATAAATGCTTCAGTAAACATTATTTATTTGCTTTGTAAAATAGTTTGAGTATCTTTAAATATTTATGAACATTTTATAGACATATAGTAAAAGGATATTTTTATTGCTTTTAGACATTATTATTGCATTTAGACATTATTGTTTCAGTAAAATGCTATTAGATATAATTCTAATCCAATATTCCATGAAAATTTAGTTTGGGCTGTTCTGACTCATATGTCTTTGCTTTTAATAAATTAAGTCTATAAGAAAATCAGAGGCTTCCTTGGTAGATCAGCTGGTAAAGAATCCGCTGGAATCCAGAAGACCCTGTCTCAATTCCTGGGTCAGAAAGATCCCCTGGAGAAGGGATAGGCTACCCACTCCAGTATTCTTGGGCTTCCTTGGTGGCTCAGCTGGTAAAGAATCCACCTGCAATGTGGGAGACCTGGGTTCAATCCCTGAGTTGGGAAAATCCCCTGGAGGAGGGCATGGCAACCCACTCCAATATTCTTGCTTGGAGAATCCCATGGACAGAGCAGCCTGGAGGGCTACAGTCCATGGAGTCGCAAAGAGTCAGACATGACTGAGTGACTAAGCATAGAGCATATAAGAAAATCACTGTTCAAAGACTTCTATTTCAAGAAAATATGACTTTAGAATTCCTAGATATGTATTAACTTCTATTCATGCTTATGAGCAGCTAACATTTATTTTGAAATAAGTATAGATTCACAGGGAGTTGCTAAAATAATGTAGAGTCCCTTGAATGCCATGTAGCTTCCTATCATGATGACATCTTTCACAATTGTTGTGTAACAGTAAAACCAGGAAATGAACACTGGTTTAGTAATGGTAACAAGACTTCAGGACTGCAGACAGTGAGAAGTGAGATTTTAGCAGTTTTATATGCACTGAATGTTTACACTGTGTGTGTGTACATGTGTGTAGATCTACACAATTTGATTCTTTGTATATATTCATGTAACAACACCAAGACTGGATACAGAACTGTTTCACTACCTTTAGAAATTCTTATGCTACTCTTTTATAGTCACACCCATCCCCTTCCACCTTCATTTCTGTTTTGTCCATCTCTATCTCTTTCATCTCCACCTCCATAGTCAAGCAGGATAATAAATGAAATCAAACAACATGCAATCTCTGAGATTGGCTTTTTTCACTAGCCATGATGCCGTAAATGTTCATCCCATTTGTTGCATGTATCAATAGCCATTTCCCTTACTATTGAGTAGCATTCCATTTTTTACAATTTAAGTTTATTCCACTTTCAGCAGTAATTTAAATATTACTGTATTCTTGTATTCATACAAAAGTAAATCTGTTTTATTTATGGGAAATGTTTCAGGGACAGAGGCTAGAAATCACAGTTGAAGCTGGTTCTTCTCTGAATCCTCTTTAAGCCAATCTGAGTCAAGGCTCTCATTCTTCTTTCTCTATGAATAAAGACTGAGACATCCAGATTTTCAGCAGGTTTTTAATAACCAGTCAAAGACAAGGGAAAAGTAAGGAATGCCCTACCACTACACTTTGTGAGAGTGTACAGCATCATTATCAGTCATAAGCAACTTAGTCAGGAAAAGGCATTTGGTTATAACAAAATTTCTATTATCTGAATTTATTATCATTCATTCAATCCCAGTACACATGTGATAGTTTCAGAATTGCAAATCAATACCAGTGTAAGAAATACATTTACCATCTGGAGTACATTGCTTGTATACAGTTTATTTTTCCTCCTTTTCTCCTTACAATGTATAGTCAAACAAGTAGGTAACACCATCAAAGAAAGAATTTACAGATACACAAAAGGGAAAGTCTACCTTGAATCCTATGATGCTAGATTAGAGTCAGAGATAACATGTTTCTATCAAATATACATTAGGATTCATTGTTATTCAGTCACTAAGTCATATCTGATTCTTTGAAACCCCAAAGATTTGCAGCACACCATAGGAGCCACAGTTTTAGGGGACTGCCACACTTTCTTGGATTTTACCTCCAGAACACCCCAGCAGGTTCTCACAGCGAAGATCTGAGAAAGAACCACGTTGGCTCTCACAGGGGAGGGAAAGAGTAATATTTGTAACAATTACTAGTAACAAATAGTACTAATTATTGGTGACAAATACTATTAATTACTAGTAACAAATAGTACTAACAAATAGTACAAATACTTTTCACTTAGAACACCCTTTTCCTCAAAGTCTTAACCAGTGCAACTTGGACATCTTTGTTCCTCAAACTGTAGATGAAAGGATTCACCATTGGCCCCACAATGGTGTAAAAAATTGTGGACACTTTATCTTCATCCAGAGACCCAGCAGGAAAAGGCTTGAGATACATGAATGCAGATGATCCAAAGAAAATGGAAACCACGATTATGTGGGAGCTGCAGGTACTGAAGGCTTTGGACCTGCCCTCTGCAGAATGGATGTGGAGGATGTTGGAGAGGATCAAGGTGTAAGAAACGGAGATGGTGACACTGGGCACTATGACATTGACACCCACCACAATGAAAACCACCAGCTCATTGATGGAGGTGCTTGTGCAGGAGAGCTGGAGGAGAGGAGGAATGTCACACATGTAGTGATTGATGATGTTTCCATCACAGAAGGAGAGTCGCAGCATGCACCCAGTGTGGGCCATGGCACCCACAAGCCCCATGGCGTATCCAGCCACCGTCAGCATGAGGCAGACCTGATGGGACATGGAGACCTTGTAAAGCAGGGGCTTACAGATGGCCACGTATCGGTCATAGGCCATTGACGTCAAAATACAGCACTCATCAATAACAAAGAAGGAGAAGAAGCAGAGCTGAGTCATGCACTCTGCATAAGAGATGATGTTCTGACTCACAAAACTCATCAGCATTTTAGGGGTAATGACAGAGGAGTGGCAGAGATCAATGAAGGAAAGGTTGAAGAGAAAGTAGTACATGGGAGTGTGCAGGTGAGGGTTCAGAGCAATAAGAATAATCAAGCCAACGTTCCCCACCACAGTGACCACATAAATTGTTAAGAAAATGAAAAAGAGAGGCAGCTGGAGTTCTGGCTTCTGTGTTAAACCCAGCAGGATGAACTCGGTCACTGAAGAGTCATTCTCTGGGGCCATTCTTCCCTAGGACATACCTGGAGAGCAGGACAGAGGGTGACGTTAAAATGAGTGCCCTGCTCTCTCCACCCAGCCCCACTCTAATGAGAGAGACTCAGAACGCGAGAAGGAACCCAGACCACCCTTCTGTGTGCCTTGGTTTTCTCCTCTGTATAAAGGCTGAGGGAATTTTTAAAGACGTGAATTAAAAACACTAACGGGCAAGTTCTACAGGGGTAAGATTCAGTAACCCTGTGACCTCGTGACAGTAGCCTCTCTGCTCCACTTCTGCTCTGACAGTTACCAGGCCCACCCGATGATCAGTGGTCATCTCAGCAGAGAAGACGTGTCATTTCAGGGAGTCCCAGGCTTCCACAGATGAGGTATGGAAGACGAGTAACACGACAGATAAAATTCAACACTCACCTCATGAGGACCTCAGTCCTGCTGGGTTAATTGAGCTCAGAGAAATAAAGTCACTTTCATCCTTCCCGAATGTCAGGTAAAGGACTTCTACAAGCTCTCAGAAAGGTCCTAATGTCTCTCCTTGCTAAATTCAGCACAGAATCAGATCCAAAGTCAGATTTGGATCAGTTTTGGAAGCTTCTAAATGACAAAATCACGGTCAGCTCACCTTATTAATTAATTCTTCTTCATTATTTGCATGGAAGGGCAAGTGGCTTTGATGAATTTTGAGGGAGAACAACATAAAACAGAGTTTTCTGTTGTTTTGTTTTCAGTGAGTTTTAGACTGATGAAGCCAGAGCACAGACCTCAGTAGCTCTGGCTCTGAGGTGCCACGAGTTACAGGTCATGATTCCTGATGGTGGCTCTGCAGAGTGTCCCTCTCCAGACTAGAGGGTGTAAATAGCATCTGCTGGTGCCCAGGGAGCCACCTGCTAATATGACTCACGGGTTTTTATGAATTGGGAAATCCTAGGAACCTGATTAAAAATTAAAAGACCTATGTTTTCTTAGTGTTTTCCCCAGAGGTCAGACTTTGAGGCAAAAAGAAATTACGTACTTCGCATATTCAGCCTAGTTCATGATAACAACACTGACTTTTTGGAAGTATACCATTTTACAGATCTTTTAGTTTCTTACAAAACAGGACACATCCCCAAATAGAAAAGCAGAATCTCCCCTCCATCCACATGGTTTCTTTCTAGCATCTATCACTATATGAAATACTATACATTTATTTGTTCCCTGCATGTTCCCACCACACATAAACACACATTTATGTACTCACAAACGTTTGAATCTAAGCTATATTTTTTTCTATTTTCTTCAGAGTTATTTCTGCAGCACCTCAGAGCAATACTTGACACATAATAGGCACCCACTAAGTATTTGTATAATAAAAGAATAAAGGAATGAGGATCACTTTCCCATCTTTCCTGGAACCTATGTTGGACACCACAACAAAATTCTTGCCCTGCAGGCAAAGGCTTATGTAGTGCTGGTGTTTTTCTTGGCAGACCTGAGTGTAAGACAGGAAAGACATCAGTAAGGCATGTAAGGTCACTGCTAAACTCTTAGATCTCATCTAAGAGCACTTCAGATCAAAGCTGCTGAATTCAGAGAAAATAATGTAATTTCCATCTTCCCTGAATGTCACAAAGAGGATTTCTACAAATTCTCAGAAATGTCTCAATGTCTCTCCCTGAGAGCATAGATCAAAAGGCAGATTTGGGTCAATAGAAGAAGCTTTCAAATGCCAAAATCAAGGTCAGCTCACTATCGGAAGCCATTAGGAACCATTCGAGATTTTTATTTCTTTTTTGACATGGCATTGAAATCATTTAAGTGCAAGCTTAGAAAGATTAATATGGCATAGAATGGTAGAATGGCCTGGCATAAGAGAGACTGGAGACAAGGTGACTCACAAGAGGCAATTAAAATGGTCAATGAATGATAAAAATGCCCTGAATTAACTGTGCTACTGTGAATAATTCCAAGGAACAAACACATGCAAGAGATACTGAAAGGAAAGTCAGTAGAGCTTCTCACGAATGGGATAGAAATAGACAAAAATCCCAAAGATATTAGCCTAGGTGCTAGGTTAAACTGTGATGTTACTACAAACAGAAAATTCAGAAAGAGTAGAATGTTCATAAACATTATGTATTCAGTTGTGAACATGCTGATCTTGAGTTCCCAGCTGGACAAGCAGGTAGAAGTATGGGAACAGACTGCAGTATTTTTTCCTGAAAAAATCCCATGAACAGAGAAGCCTGGTGGGTTTCATAGTCCATGGGGTCACAAAGAGTTAGACAAAACTGAGCAACTAAAAAGAAGTATACAACCCAAATAAGGCTAACTAATGCTCAAGAGGAAGACAAGAATCTGATAAAAAAAAAAAGATCTGGGGACCATTTCCACAGAGGTTAATGTCATGGAGTCAGGGGACCTCAATGAGAAAGAATAAAGAGAGCAGAGACACAAAAAAAAAAATTTGTAAAATCTTTCGTATGGATTACACATAGGACATTTGAAAACCCAATCATTACTAAAATGAGTCACAACTATTATTACCAGATCCTTAGAAATAACAAGAGTACCAAAAATTACTCAGGACAAACTTGAAATGTGTCCCACAAGATAGATATTTTTGGGCTTAGTTTTGATGAGGACCTTAGTGATTCATTAAAACATGTGTTTTCTACGAAAATGTTAGAAGTCTTATTTACATTATGCAGGAAACAGAAACACTCTTTCCAAGTTTATATTACATGAAGTCACATTACAAGAAAGTTTATGGCAAAGTGCTAAGCTATGGCAAAGTTAAAGGTCATTCTTTCATCTTTAATACAACCAGTGTAAATACAGGCAGAGAAATGATTGTAGAGATACTCAGCTTATTCATAACATTGCAAAACTAACTCATTACCCTTCTTTCTTCTATCTACATAATGGTCACAATAGCCTGATTTAGTTATAACAAAACCCATCAAACAGTTATCCTTTTCACTGAGCTATATCTTTTGCTAATTCCTGGTTCCTTTTTTTAACTCAAGCCCAATATGTTCTAACTTAACAAAGTCAGCAGTAGATTAAGTTTCATACTAGTGAAAGAAGAGAGTGAAAAAGTTGGCTTAAAGCTCAACATTCAGAAAACTAAGATCATGGCATCTGGTCCAATCACTTCATTGGAAATAGATGGGGAAACAGTGCAAACAGTGGCTGACTATTTTGGGGGGCTCCAAAATCACTGCAGATGGTGACTGCAGCCATGAAATTAAAAGACACTTACTTCTTGGAAGGAAAGTTATGACCAACCTAAATAGCATATTAAAAAGCAGAGGCATTACTTTACCAACAAAAGTCCGTCTAGTCAAGGCTATGGTTTTTCCAGTGGTCATGCATGGATGTGAGAGTCGGGCTGTGAAGAAAGCTGAGCGCAGAAGAATTGATGCTTTTGAACTGTGGTGTTGGAGAAGACTCTTGAGAGTCCCTTGGACTGCAAGGAGATCCAACCAGTCCATCCTAAAGGAGATCAACCCTGGGTGTTCATTGGAAGGACTGATGCTGAAGCTGAAACTCCAGTACTTTGGCCACCTCATGCGAAGAGTTGACTCACTGGAAAAGACCCTGATGCTGGGAGGGATTGGGGGCAGGAGGATAAGGGGACGACAGAGGATGAGATGGCTGGATGGCATCATCAACTCAATGGACATGAGTTTGAGTAATCTCCGGGTGTTGGTGATGGACAGAGAGGCCTGGCATGTTGCAGTTCATGGGATCTCAAAGAGTCGGACACGACTGAGCAACTGAACTGAACTGATACTATCATAAAAGTGCATAAAATGTAAATATTTATTAACTAAATAGCATTTTAATTTGCAGTATTATGTCACACTAAGCTAAGCTGCTGCAAAAATCCAGAATCATTGGCTAATATACTTTCAAATGTAACTCTGTAATAAAAAGAAAATTAACTCTACAAGTGCCAGAAAGGAAATGGGAAGGCAAAATCTAATTTAGCAGATCTGAGGTGGGGTTCTAGAATCTTTTTTTTTTTTTTTAAGGTGTAAAGTCTAGTCTAAATTCATGTTTTTGCATAGGGACATCTGGTCTTTCTAGCACCAATTGTTATGAAGACTATCATTTTTCCATTGATTGCTTTTGCTCTTTTGTCAAAGATCAGTTGACTATATTATGTAGGTCTACTTTCAGATTCTCTCTTTTAATCCACTGTCTTTTCCTTCAACACCACACTGACTTGTTGTCTACAGTTTTATAGCGAGTCTTGGGCTTCCCAGGTGGCGCTAGTGGTAAAGAACCCAACAGCCAATACAGGAGACATAACAGATGCAGGTTCATTCCCTGGGTGGGGAAGATCCCCTGTAGGATGGCATGGCAACCCACTCTAATATTCTTGCCTGGAAAATTCCATGGACAGAGGAGCTTGGTGGTCCTCGGTCCATAGGGTCGCAAAGAGTCTGACATGGCTGAACTGAATTAACATGCGCACACACACATAGAATCTTAAAATTGGACAGTCTCTCTCCTATAACTCTCTTCTTCAGTACTGTATTTGATATTCTGGGGTTTTTGCCTTTCTATATAAACTTTAGAATCAGTTCTTTTTTTATTTCTTGATTTTATTTATTTGGTTGCTCCAGGTCTTAGTTGCTGCATTGTTGTTGTTTAGTCGATAAGTCATGTCCAATTCTTTTGTGACCCCAGGCACTGTACCCCACCAGGCTCCTCTGTTCATGGGATTTCCCAGGCAAGAGTAATGGAGAGGGTTGCCATTTCCTTCTCCAGAGGAGCATCCCATCCAGGAAGCAAACCCACATCACCTGCATTGCAGGCGGATTCTTTACCACTGAGCCACCTTTTGTTCATTTGTTTGTTTGGTAGTTATTGCTGTCAATTTTGAGGGACTGTCTACAGAGATAATCATGTCATCTAAGAACAGAGGCAGCTGTATTTCTTTTTTTCCAGTATGTATTTAAAAACTATTTAAAGTTATCATTCCAAGACAGGCTCAAATATTAATATGCTTGAAAAAAATATACCTCAGCATCCTTTGTCCCAAGGAAAATCAAATCAAAATTATAATGAGATACCACTGCATATACACTAGAATGGTTAAAATTAATAAGACTGTCTACACCAAGTGTACATTTGGATGTGGCACTTCTGGAGCTTTCATACACTGCTGTTGGAAGAGAAAAATTGGATTGTTACTTTAGAAAGCAAACTGATATTTTCTAATAAAGTTGCACACATATGTATGCAACACACAGCATCTGATCCAGACATTCCACCACTCTTATACATCATCCAGAAAAATTAGTGCATGTAAGAAAAATACTTGTACAAGAATGTTTACCGAGGTTTTACTTTATAGCCAAATTTCCATCAAGATGAGAATATAATAGATAATAAAATTGTAGAAAATACATTCAATGAGCTATTTCTCAGAAAAAAAAAGCCCTATCACATGTGCCAATGTGCTTGAAATACAAAAATCATTATGCTGAATAAAAGACAGAAGACCCAAAAAGAGTATAAACAGTATGATTTTATTCATACAATTTTTAAGAACAGGAAAAATTACTCTGAAGTGACAGAAATCAGAGCAATTGTTACCTCAACTGGTGCATGGGAGTTGGCTATTGATTAGAAAGTGACATAAGGGAAATTTCTGCGGTCATGGAAATGTTCCATATCTTTTTCTGGGTGGTGATTAAATAACTTTATACTTAGGCAAAAAGTCTAATCTGTATATCTCATATTTTTATATTTTATTATATGTAAATTAGATCTCATAAATGACAATTTGAAATGCTTTTGTAAAAATAAGTAAAATTTGTGTAAAAACTTATGGAGCTTAATATTTTAAACAATATATTGTTCAGTAGACCACTAAGTAATTATTATGGAAGACTAGTCTGTGTTTCAGTAATACATCTCTAATCTCTAATATCAGTATGAGGTAGACTCATCCACTGCTTTCCATACCACCCTTAGAGACACTGCTGTACCAGATGGGTCAGTAGTCTTACACGGGATTTGGCTTGGGTGTTTCCATAAAGGATATTCTGACTTATATTGAATCCATGTCCCAAACCTGAGGAAATTCAGTGAAGTTGACATAAAGAAAGAAACCTTGGAAAAAGAAATAATCAGACTCAACTGGGACATTAATTTCTTCCCATTTAAGCTTGTGCTCCATGAGCTCTGCCAAATGTCATAGTTTGTTTGCATTTCTATCACCAAGAGTGACAGTCAAGCTTGTCTCTTTAAAAAAAAAAAAATTACAAATAATTTTAGTTTAAAAATATGGCAACTTTAATGTTTAACAGGAAATCTAACTGAAAACTAGCTTAAAACCAAGTGTGCAAAAAGCAGGAAAGCTCAATCCAATGAGGAAAAACCTCAATCTGTAGAAACATGCTAAAAATAGCACATATTTTAAAGTTAATAGACAAGAAAAAAAGAGCTGTTATTAATATAGGCTATACATTCAAGGAAAAATTTGCATGTTAAGGAAAGACACAAAGATATGAAAAAAAAATGCTGATTTCCATGATCTGAAAAATACAATCTATGAAATGGAAAAATGTTCCAAATCCAAAAAAAAATACATAATCCCAAAATAATCATGAGAGAAACACTAGAAATCCCAATTGAGGGATATTCTACAAAATGTTGGTGTTATTTAGTCGCTCAGTCTTGTCTTAACTCTTTAGTGACCCCGTGGACTGTAGCTCACCAGACTTCTCTGTCCATGGAATTTTCCAGGCAAGAATACTGGAGTGGGTTGCCATTTCCTTCTCCAGGGGATCTTCCTGACCTAGAGATAGAACCTACATCTCCTGCCCATGTCTCCTGCAATGCAGGCAGGTTCTTTTACTGCTGAGCCACCAGGGAAGCCCATTCTACAAAATACCTAATACTCTTCAAAACTGTCAAACTCATCCAAAATACGGGAGGTCTGAGCAAATGTGACAGCCAAGAGGAATCCAAGGAGACATAATTAATCAATGCACTGCAGTATTCTGAATGGGATCTTAGGACGGAAAAAGAATATTAGATAAAAACTAAGAAAATTGGGATAAAGTATGGACTTTACTAATAATGTGTCACTACTGGTTCATTAACTGATAAATGTATCACACTGCTAAACCATTAAGGAAGCCTGATGTAAGACAGCAAGAGGAACCAGACTCTGTACTACATTAACAATTTTTCTCTAAATTTAAAACAATTCCAAAATTTAAAAATGTGTGTAAAAATAAACGTGTTGAATGCAGTTAACACCACATCAGAAGAAATGATGAGCTGATGAGTAAACTTAAAGAAGAGCAATAGAAACTACCCAAAATGAAATCCAGAGAGAAAAAAAGAACAACAAAAATATCAACACAGCATCAATGAGCCCTAAGACATCAAGCAACCTCGTATGTATGTAATTGGAGTTTCAGGCCACAGGGAGGAGGAGTGGGAGAAAATTACTTGAAGATGTTAACAGCTGAAGACATTCACCTAAAGTATACAGTGAATACCCCCGACCACCTAATCTAATTTGAGAACAAAGTTGACTAAATAAGCTATTTAACAATTGTCATTTCTGGTATTGTTGGGCTAGGTTATTGGATCTACCACCTACCCAAAACCAGCTAAAAATACTGAAAAAAAATATTCTATTTTATGACTGGCTTTTGATCACATAAATTTTGTATTATTTATTAATTATAAATGCATGTTTTAGGAAATATTTAGGGTCATATTTGATGGTAAAATCAGAAAAATTGGTATATTCATTATATGCTATAGTAACATAAATTAATCAAAAAACCAAAAACATCTCTTAAATGAAACATATGATTTTTTATTAAATAAGAAACCCAAATAAAATATATTCATAATTCTAAATAAAAATCTGTACTTGCTTTCAGAATATTTTTTTGTATCAGGCTTTGTACTTGAAATAGTCATTTGCAATTCTTGATCAATAATTTTTAATTTCTTCTACAACCATCTATGAGAAACTTTATATGTGTAAGAGACAGAGTTTAAATCATTCTTATCACCATTGAAAACTTTGCCATCAAAATTATATTTAAATAATATGAGTTATTTTCTTTTTACTTACAAATTTAATGTTCAACAAATTTAGAACTAATTTCATTTTTTCATTTCCAATATTTCAAAATAACAAGTCTAACTTTCAGAAGGCTATGCATTCTTAGAGCAGTCACACTGCATCTAGTTTGCTGCTGCTGCTAAGTTGCTTCAGTCGTGTCTGACTCTGTGCGACCCCATAGATGGCAGCCCACCATGCTCCACCATCCCTGGGATTCTCCAGGCAAGAACACTGGAGTGGGCTGCCATTTCCTTACATGCCATTAAAAGGACAAATTGGCTGGAGATAGATGGAAGTATCTGACATGGGAGACAGAGGCTGGGGCACCTACTTGGAGATGGAATCCCAAGCATCAGGATTCCCTGCCCAGCCTCCCACCACCATAAGCTGAGCTTCACAAGTCTGAGCACCTGAAACAAACACCCCCAGCAGCTCTGTGGAACTCCTGACCACAGTAGGCACTGCCCCCTTTGTGTATGACTGTCCTAGCTGGTGACCAGGTGGTGGAGTACCTCTTTGGTTGGGCTGTTGAAATAGAGCAGAGAACACCTCACTTGGCTAACCACGCTTGTCGCTGACCAGAGTATGGTGCATGCTATCACATCAGACACACTCTATTGTTACCCTTCTGAGAGCATCTATCTAGCATATCCTTTAGGCTCTGTTCATCTAGGGATTCCACATGAATAGAACAAACTTTTTTTTCCCAAAAAAAATAGTATACATAAAGCATATACAGAAGGACAATAAAGTCATATATGACATTACCTGTATCTTCAAGAAATTCATCAATTTACAGACATGACACTTCCAAATATCCTAAATGCTTAATATATTGAAATAATTTTTGCATCAAATTCTATAGTTATAATTATTTCTAAAACACTACATTTAAAGCCTTAAGCATTTTAGTTTTATATGAATTGTGCTTTTAATATTTTTAATTGATCATTTTGGACAGGTTGATCTAGAGAATATAAAGTCATCCTGCAAAGTAAGCCTGCTGATTCACAGACCGGGCCAGGCATTTGCTGACTCATACTTCCAGCAGCGTGTTCTGGGTACTTGGATATCACATTCAGACTCCAAGCCATGTGTCATTCCTGCAACTATATTTTGCCTAGATAAACCAACATACTCCCCAAAAGTGTGTGAAACTGGTAAGCCACAAATATACATGGCCTTTTATTTGGTTGGACAGGGCCAACCACTCATGGAGGTGTGTCTCTCCCCCGATGTTCTATTTGCTTGGTTCTACTACAACCTCAGCTAATCTCTCCCATGCAGTGAAAATAGGACTACCAGAATACTTAGATTTAATCTTACCAATTCAGCAACTTCAAAGGTAAAAGCCTGTTTAAACAATTTTGGCAGAAAAGACTATAGCCAAATAACTGTTCCTGATTAATCACTGTCAACAAGGTTAGGCTGGATATGCTTTGTGAGAGGGTCAAGTCAGTCCAACACAATCACATAAAATGTGTTCCCTGCATCAAATTCCAGTCAAAAAAAAAAGCATACTACATACTTCCTACAGAGGACATTTTTTAAAAAGAGAACTGGATCTATAGACGTAGAGTATAGTAAGCAGGAGGGGAAAATATAAAGACTAATATCCTATTAAAAAAATAGCTACTACTTCCAGGACTGATGGAACAAAAAGAAAGACTAAGAAGCATTACCAAATTCTAGAATCTCAGAGGAGAAGCTCTACAGGATTGCTGCTTGGATTAATGGAGGGTTTGAAGATGCCCCACAGCTGGTGCCTGGACCTCTGAAATAGAGACTCCACCAAGAGGTTGCAAGGTCTAACGTGGAGGGATACCCTGAAGAAGACCTGACAAGTGCTTGAACCACTCAAGGGGAAGTCTGGACAATGATGTGAGGGAGCATAGCACAGCTGGTAAGGGACTGTTGAACAGCTATCTACCATACGTAAGGGGTTCACCAAGTTAAGCACATTTCCATGTGCTTATTGGCCATTTACACAATTTGAAAATATATGGCATGGTCTTTTTATCACTGAGATAAACTAATTAAGTTGTTACATATCCTAGATATAATAACTTTATCACACATACATATTGCAAATATTCTTCCAATCTGTGGCCTGCCTCTAAATATTTTTTGATACATAGATGCTCTAATTTAAACGAAATTCATTTTATTTTTTTTTTCTTTTAGGTTTAGTGTTTTCCAGAATATGTCTAAGAAATGTGTGCCTATATTAACATATTTTCTATGCTTTCTTCTAGAAGCTTCATGACAATTTTATGTATATAGTTTTGATCCATTTAAAATTAATTTTGTGTATGATGTGAGGTAGAAATCAAAGTTTACTTTTCCTGGTGATTAATTAGCATTTTCAGCATCAATTGCTTAGATTTTTCTTTACCTCGAGATTAATGTAGTTGCTTGGTTAAAAATGAGTAAACTGTGTAAGTAAGGATCTGTTTCTAAATATTCTGTTGTGTCCCATGGATTTATTTGTCTATATTTATAATAAAACCAATCTGTTTTGATTACCATATCCTAAAACTAAGTTTTAAAATCAGTTAGTGTTATGTTATTTTGAGTTCTCCAAGAAACAGATGCTAAGAAATGATTAGACTTCCAAGACATTTACTGTGGTAAGTGCCTGTGAAAGATAAAATGGGAAGGAGTGGGTGTCAGTGAAAAAGCTTTCAGACCAGAATGAAAGTGTGACACCTACGAAAGGAGAGAGAGAAGGAAGAATTTGGTAGAAAAACCTCAGATTACAGTGTAGTTCAAAAAAAAAAAGTCTCAAGTAGTATGATAAGTCCCTAAGCAAAGACTGCCTATCAGAAGAGATCTATGTTACAAAGATAATGGCCAGCTCTGTTATGACCCACCAAGCTAAGTCAATGGTTGAGGACATCTTGGAGGAAACATGGACTCTGCCTAAACACGATGTTGGATACAAGGGAATATCAGTTACAGACAGTCAGTGATGCTCCCCACAAATGGTTCTACTGAAAAGGGGTGACTGGCACCTAGTCATGGCTGCCACATTTCACTTCCCAAAAGAAATTATACCTCAAAGGTATTTCTGATTTCTTATTACTATAATTTATTATTATATTCTATTATTATTTATAGCATTAAATTTATTATTATTATCCAAACAAGATAATCCAATTAACAAGAATTTTGTGACCCACCACTACATATGATACTCTAAATATATGAATGGGAAAACATTGTAGAAAAAAACTATAGGGAGAAACATCTAGGTAAATGTATTTATTATCTCATTGGTGAAACAATGTTTAATTTCAGAAAATGTTGATATGGCTTATTGTATTAATACACACCTTTGATGAAACTTCAGTGGATAAGTAAAACATAGCTAAAATGTTTCTCCTAACACTATGTGTAGTATTTCCTAATGTGATGATGAAATTTAAAGTAAAACCATATGCCTTTTTCAAAATATTTTGTGTCGAGTAGATAGTAATAAATACAAATTTGATAACAAACTGCCCATCATACTTATTGGGATCCTGAGATACATATGTATTATTTCTCTAACCACCCTCTCTTAATGCTATGTTTGGAAATAAGTGGTAGAATTATATATATCCTCTTGAGTACTAAATGTATTTGCCTGATAGAAATTCTCAGAAGCAGGTGGCAGGTGAAACAGATTTTTGTCATTTTAAAAGAGAACAAGAAAAGCAAGATCAAAGGAAGTGTTACAAAAAATAGAACAAAATGACAACATCAGGTGGATCTGTTTCTACATTAAGCTGTTAATAATTTGCAATGAAGACATTTCTTTATTTTTTTTTCCATTTATTTTTATTAGTTGGAGGCTAATTACTTTACATCATTACAGTAGTTTTTGTCATACATTGAAATGAATTAGCCATGGATTTACATGTATTCCCCATCCCAGTCCCCCCTCCCACCTCCCTCTCCACCCAATCCCTCTGGGTCTTCCCAGTGCACCAGGCCCAAGCANGTACAAGAGAGTTGGAGGAGTGGGAGGATGTCACACAAGTAATGGTTGATGACATTAACACTGCAGAAGGTTAGTCTAAGCATGCATCCTGTGTGGGCAGAAGCTCCAGCAAATCCCATCACATATGCAGCCAAAGAGAGCACCAAACAGACCTGATGGGACATGGAGACCTTATACAGCAAGGGATTACAGATGGCCACATAGCGATCATAGGCCATTGAGGTCAACATATAGCACTCAGAGATGACAAAAAAGAGAAAGAAAAACAGCTGAGTCATGCACCCCACATAAGAGATGGTATTCTCCCTGAAGACAAAGTTCATCAGCATCTTGGGGGTGAAAACAGAAGAGTAACAGAGATCAATGAAGGACAGGTTGAAGAGGAAATAGTACATGGGGGTGTGGAGGTGAGAATTTAGACCAATAAGAATGATCAAGCCCAGGTTGCCCACCACGGTGACAACATAGATCATTAGAAACAGGTAAAAGAGGGGTTGCTGGAGCTCTGGACGGTCTGTGAATCCAGCGAGAATAAATTCAGTCACTAAGGAGTCATTTCCAGCCAGCATTCTATTCTCGACTTCAGAAATCTGTGAGAACAGAAGAAAAGTTCATTAGTAGGGAACCCAGCTCTGTCCTTACAAAATCACTTTTATATGAATTTTATTTATGAGACAGAGTCTCAGACTAGCAGAAATCATGTAAATGCTTCTTTGCCTTATAGAGTCTTGAAGGCACACACTTCTCAACATTTAAATCACTGTCTTTTGAACGAACTGCATATGACAAACAACTGTGCTCTATCTTCACTAGAAATTAGAGGGATACACTAGCTGAGGAACAAGCTTACTTGCTGATGGACTTTAGGAGTGGGAAGGTATGCCCAGTTCTCTCCATATTCATCTGATTTACCACTTCCTATTTTCAACTCATGTTTCCATCATCCTACTACATACTGAAGGTTCCTTCAAGAAGAGATTCCTACAGGGAAGAGACCATATAGTATTCTGCAACCAGGAAGTCTCTTATAGTCTCTAAAGTTTCAGATACTTCAAGAATCCAGGAAGTCAATAATTGATAACACATATTGAGGTGAACCTTGATATCTTAAATTTTATAATTAACCATACATTTCAGGGTTTCCACACACACTGCCCTCCTCTGTTCTATCCTAGTTGCACAGAGAATAAATAAAGGAATGTGGATGTGCTTTCCTGGGTTTTGTAGGATGACAAGAATGAGAAATAGAATTCATTTGAGTGCTGATTAAGTTAGTCATTAAGTTTGTGAAAACATTTCAAGCTGTATACTTACTAGCAAAAGATAACTTGTTATAATTCAGTGAAAAGGATAACTGTTTGACACATTTTGTTATAACTAAATCAGGGTACTGTGACTATTACATAGATAGGAGAAAGGAAGGTAATGAGTTAGTTTTGCAATGTAAGAATAAACTGAGCATCTCTATACTCATTCTCTGCCTGTATTTATACTGGTTGTATTAAAAATGAAAGAATGACCTTTAACTCTAGCTTAGTACCTTGCCATAAACTTTCTTGTAATGTTGACTTCATGTAATATAAACTTAGAGGGAGTGTTTTTGTTTCATGCATCACCTAAATAAGAGTTCTTAACATTTTCACAGAAAACACATGTTTTAATGAATCTCTAAGCTCTTCATCAAGACTAAGCCCAAGAATGTCAACTTATTATGAGTATTATGTGTATTTCCTATGTGTATAACTGTTGTTGTTCAGTCACCAAGTCATGTCTGACTTTTCGTGTATAGTTCATCTCAATAAAAAATTTTTTAGAAAAAAACCCAAATCTCTTCTGATATTGCTATGTTCTGGATTCGTCACTTGGAATTGCTATAGTTCCCTTGCTACCAGAATGAAGATAATGCCAACACAGAGGGTATGCTGAGAACAATATAGGCAGTAGAGTCAGAGGTCCTGACTTAGGACTTCTCAGGTATTCAATATAAATACTTTCCTCATTTTTGGCAACAGAGGAATTTAGCAAAATACGGAAACTTGGTTAACTCACTCTCCATGCATTGAAAGAACTCAGTGCTGACCCTTTATGCGTGTTTCACCTCCACTGTCCTGGAAGAAGAACTGGCCTAGGGGATATCAAAGCCAAGCAGATGTACCCACAGAATCTTCTTCCTTCACAGGCAAAGAATCAGCATAAATCTCACAGTCTCAATGTTCCAAGAGTCAGTCTATGATTTAAATCAAACTTGTAGCTATAAATTTACCAAGAGATTGTGCAAGGAAACCACAGGCAGACATCCGAACCACCAGGTAATAGGGCACATAGCATTTGCATAAGGTTTATAATTCTTTTGAACCTGATTAGAAATCCAGGTACAGGTGCCCCCAAGGACCTTCCCATCATGATAAACTCTGCAGGGAAGAAATCAGTGTGTATGTTTACACTCTATCTGTGACAGTAAATGTTAATTTCCCATCACAGATTATACATTCCCCAGAGCATAAAAGAAATGATTCTCTGCCCTCCCTTATAAAGATGCAAATAATTAATGTCATTGAAAATTCACTAATTATAATCTAGGTAACATAAGTTTTAAGAATTTTAGTTCATAAAGATATACGAACATTTAAGGAAAGATTACTTACTATGGCCCCTTACAAACTCCCTGGTGGATCAGCTGGTAAAGAATCTGCCCGCAGTGTGGGAGACCTGGGTTCGATACCCAGGTTGGGAAGATCCCCTGGAGAAGGGAAGGGCTACCCACTCCAGAATTCTGGCCTGAAGAATCCCACAGACTGTAGAGTCCATGGAGTCGCAAAGAGTCAGACACGACTGAGCCACTAATAATTGAGTCTCTTTAAATAATCAGTTTATGAAAACTTTATAGACATAAACCAAAGATTTTTTAATTGATTTCAGAGGTTATTGTTTAATAAAACACTATTTACTATAAGAATAATCCTATGGAAATTTACTTTAAGATATTCTGACTCAATATGTGTTTGCTTTTAATAGATTAAATCTATGAGAAAAATCCCTGTAAATAAGCCTCATTATAAAGAAGTATGACTAAAATTCCCAAGTATGTATTAGCTTACAATTATGCTTGTGAGACCCTGAAGAAGGAAATGACAATCCACTCCAGTATTCTTGCCTGGAGAATCCCATGGGCAGAGGAGCCTGGTGCGCTACAATCCACGGGGTCACAAAGAGTCTGACACGACTAAGCAACTAAAACACACATACACACATACACACTTGTGAGAAGAAATCTAATTTTTTATTTAGAAATTATTATAGAGTCCAAGAAATTGAAAAAATACTGGATAGATTTCTTTGAAATCCACCCAGCTTCCTACCACAGCAATACTGCAGTACAAAAGCAAAACTATAGATTCTATTTAGCTTTGAGCAATTTTATATGCAGTACATGTTTCTGTCTGACCTTTTATAGATTCATGTAGCTACCACCACAATCATACACAGAACTCATTTACTAACATAAAGGAACTCCCTTAAACTACGCTTTTACAGTCACACCTATCCCCTCCCACCTTCATCTCTGTCTTCCGATAACCACTAACTTACTTGTTCTTCATCTCTATAGTTGGGTTGTTAAAACAACAAATGAAACTATACAACATATAACTTCTGATATTGGCCTTTTCCCCTAAGCATGATGCTCTTAAGTCCATCCTAATTGTTGTATCAACAGCCTGTCCTTTTACTGCTGAGTGGTATTCCATTTTATACAACCCACATTTATTCAAACTTCTGTAGTAAGTTAAAAATTACTAGGCTCTGGTTTAATAGAAAACTAAATCTGTTTTATTTATGGAAAATGTTTCAGGGGCAGGGGATATAAGATGTTCAGACTGGTTCTTCTTGTAATATTCTTTTTTTAATCAGTTTTATGGTGGGATAATTTAGATACAATAACATGCTCTCATTTTAAGAATACAGTTCAATGATTTTCAAAAGAATACAGTCACATTAAAGACCACCATGGTCAAGATCTAGAGCATTTCCATCACTCCCAAAAGTTCCCTTATCCCCCTTAACAATCCATCCCCTGTCATTTTTTAATCATGAAAGAATGTTGAAATTTCTCAAATATTTTTGCTACAGCTATTGAAATATTATATGATTTTTATCTTTCATTATATTAATCTGTTATAGCACATTTCTTGATTAGTGTATGTTGAACCACTCTAGAATTCCATGATTAAATCCCACTTGATCATAGTGCATGATTTTTTAATGTGCTGTTGAACTGGTCTGTCAGAATTCTGTTGAGAATTTTTGCATCTATATTCATCAGACACATTGACTTGTAGTTTTCTTTTCTTACAGTGTCTTTACCTGGTGTTGGTGAGAGGGTAATTCTGGTTGTAAAGTGATTTTTAGAGTGTTCTTTCTTACACTTGGGAAAAGTTTGAGAAGTTGTGGTATTTATTCTTATTTAAACGTTTGACAGGATTCACCAGTAATACCATCTAGCTTCTGGTCCTGGGGTTTTCTTTGTTGGGAGGTTTCTGATTATTGATTCAATCTCCTTACTTTTTATTGATCTGTTTAGATTTTTTCTGTTTCTTTGTAATTCAGTCTCAATAGACTGTTTCTAAGAATTTATCCATGACTTTTAGGCTATTCAATTTGTCCGACTATAACTGTTCATAATAATCTGATCCTTAGTATTATTGTGGTATCAGCTGTAATGTTTCCTCTTCATCATGGTATCATTACCATCCCTGTCTCATTACAATTGTTGAGCTAAAGTTTATTTTGTCTGATATAAGTATGGTTACTGCTGTTGTTTTCTGGTTTCCACTTGCATAGAACACCGTTTCTCATCCCCTCACTTTCAGTCTGTGTGTGTCCTTAATGCTGAAGTAAATCTCTTGTAGAAAGCACATAATTGGGTCTGGGCTTTTTGTTTTGTTTTAATCCATCCAGCAACTCTACTTCTTTTGATTGGAGAATTTGAATCACTTACACTTAAAATAATGATTGACAGGTAAGGAATAATGCCCTCCTAATTGTTCTCTGGCTGTTTTGTAACTCCCTTGTTCTTTTCTTTCTCTCTTGCTGTCTTCTTTTATGATTTGATGATTTTCTATAAAGGTATGTTTCTATTCCCTTCTCTTTATTCTTTTGTATTAATGTAGGCTTTTGCTTTGTGATTACCATGAGACTTACATAAGATAACCTAAGTGCTATCTTAATGTGGTATGTGTTATCTTAAGGTGATCACATTTTGATAACACACAAAAACACTATGATGTTACTCCTTTCCCACATTTTATGTTTTGATATCACAATTTATCTCTTTTTATATTGTGTATCCATTAGCAAGTTACTGTATTTATAGCTATTTTTAAATAGTTCTGTCCTTTAATCTTTACTACAGTTGACTAGTTAACACATCACCATCCTACAGTATGTATTCTGAATTTGACTTTATTTTTATACTTGCCAATATTTTGTATATTTTATGTTTCATGTTACCCAGGATTTCTTTCTTTCTTATGATTTCTATCAGTACCTCTTTATTAAGCTTTTCATTTTGTTTTCT